AGCCGTTTGTCTGATTCTCTGAGCAATAAGGAATTTGGAATTTCTTTTTAATGTGTTTCGTTGCTGATCAGTAAGACCAGTTAAAACTACCCAATCATCAACACCAAGAATACTAGGATGTTCTAAGTAAAGTCTGAAGAGTCTTTAGAATTAAAAATTGGGTTTTTTTTCAAACTAATTGAATATATTCTCGAAGTAATGTGAGATTAACACGATGTACTGTTCGTACATCGTGAGTAAAAGGAAGAGGAAATTCAATTTTTTGATAAAAAAAATTAGGGGATAAAATTATTATCATGATATCTACAAAGAAAGATGATAGATGAGAGAGGAGATTAACTTTTTAAAACTTTTAAACAATATTTGTAAAATACAAGGGAATGCAAGGAATAGTGATGCGCAACGTATAGCCTCTCCTTTTCAAATGTGCCCTGCTGATGCAGGGCACATTTTCACCTGCCCGCGTGATGATCTTGATTATGGTCATCCGGTGCATCCTGCTAGATAACATATGAGGCTCTGACATCGGAGTGATTGCCGGTATAAGCAATCCCCCACTTACTAACCAATGGCTTAGGGCCGCTGAGTTGGTGAGTGGTAGGGCATTATTTTGTCCTGGGGTTGAGAAATCGGCCCCGAAGTCGGATGAATCAACAATTATTGGTCAACAGCATAAGAATGCAGAAGACACAGGAAAACCACTGCATTAACAGCCCATGGAGCACCCCCAGGAAAATCACCATAGAATTGACACTGCAATTGCAAACCGTTACTAATCATGGAAAGCGGAGGCCAAGATTCGGCAGGAGAGGAGAAACATATTTAGACCACAAGGCCTCTCAGGTCGTAAACATGCGAAAACCTCGTGAAGAAGTTCTAACAATAAAGAAATATAATTTTAGAATGTGCATATGAAATGTTAAAAGTTTATTTGCAGCTGGGAAACTTGACAACGAAATTGAAGAAATAAAAAGAATGAAAATAGACCTACTGGGAATCAGAGAAATGGGATGTCCAGAGTTAGAATCATGTAAAAAGGATGGAAGTGTATTATATTATTCCGATAACAGCACAGAAGACCCGCATCACAAAAATGGTGTAGGTATATTAGTAACATCAGAACTGAGTAAATATGTGACCAATTTCGTACCAGTCTCAGATAGAATAATAATACTTCAAATAAATACTCAACCATTAAAACTAACATACTTTAAATCTATGCCTCGACTGCAGATAAAAAATATGACGATGAAGTCGAGAAGTTCTATGAGCAGAACCAAGACATCTTACAGAAACTTAATACACACGCAATTTTATATGTTATAGGCTTCTTTAATGCAAAAATTGGAGAACATCGACGAGGTCAGACTGTAGGTCCTTATGGTCTAGAACAACCTAACGATCGAGGACAGAGATTGTATGAATTTTGTAAAGAAAAAGATATGATAATTGCTAACACCTGGTATAAACTACCCAAGCGACGACTATACACTTGGAAAGCCCCATTTGATGATGGCAATAATCCTGATAGAATTACAAATAAAGAAGTACTGGAAAGGGTTAATAAGGAAACAAAACAAATCACCAATATACAAATCAGAAAACCAGAATACCTAGGCCACGTGATGAGGGTACCAAAATATGAAATTTTGAGATTCATGATACAGGGAAAGGCTATATTCAAGGAAGAACATCTCTTGGCCGAAGGCAGAACTCATGGTTAAAGAATTTACGTGATTGGTATCAATGCAGATCGATTGATTTGTTTAGAACAGCAAGTTCTAAAATAAAAATAGCCATTATGATTGCCAACCTCAGTAGGGAGATGGCAATCTAAGAAGAAGAATAACCCTGAATCTTCAAGAAATCAAATAGACTATATACTTGTAAATCAGTGTTTCCAAAATGCTGTCAAAAATCACTACATTTTCTGGGGCAGATTTTGGATCTGATCATTAACCACTTGTAGCAGATAATAAATTAAGGTTAAAAGGAATTCGACGACAAAATCCAAAAACCAATGTACTTAACTTTGATGATATAAACATAAAACATACCAATAAAAAAGAATTTAACAATAGAATAAAAAACATCGGAGAACAACTAGAAGATCCAGAAGAACTGTCAGACAGGAGATCAAATTAACCAAAGAAAAATGGATGAGAGAAAGGTGCGACGAAATGAAGGATATAATATCTAAACATGACGTATTTAATGTGCACAAAAACTAAAAGAAATGAGTAACCTACTTAAAAAACGAGTTGCCTCTGTACTAGTTGACAATAATAACAAAATTATTGTAAATGAGCACGAAATAAGAAATGAATGGCAGCTGTATATTAAAGTTGTTTGAAGATGACAGGAATAATATTGCCAAATTCTACCAAAACTGTACTGACGGCCCAGAAATTATGAAATACGAGGTAAAACACGTTATAAATAATGCTAAAATTAGAAAAACTTGTGGTCCAGATGATACACCAACTGGGTTGCAGAAACTGATAAAGGATGATAACATTAAAGTAGAACGTAGTAAGACTTTTTAATTCAATATAAACACCGGAGCGATTCCCACAGATTGGCTCAAATCCATCTTTGTCACAATACCTAACAAACACAATGCGAGAAAATGCTCAGAATATCGATTAATTAGCCTAATGAGCCACACTCTTAAAATTTTCCCAAGAATACTTTAAAACAGGATTAGACACAAATGCTTTTTGGGTTTGGTTTTGGTTTTAGAAATGCTATGGTAACCAGGGAGGCAGTTTTTGCGCTTAACACCCATTATAAAAATGCCGTGACCAAAGAAAATATGTATTTGCGTATTTCGTGTGGACTTCGAAAAGGCATTCAAGAAATTACAGCATGTAAAATTATTGCAAATACTGAAAAATATCGAATCAGATAACAAGGATATTTGTGTCATTAAAAATTTGTACTGGAATCAAACTGCTATCATAAAAATTGGAAATAACTACATCGATGGACTCTCCATACAACGAGGAGTCAGACAAGGTTGTTCAATGCCAATGCCAACATTGTGCAATGTTTACTTGGATCAGATATTTAAAAAGGCACTTGAGAGACAACCATATGGAATAAAAATCAACGGGGAACTACGATGTGATTAGATATGCAGATGATACAGTAATTCTGTCAGATAATTTTGAAGGTCCCCAAATTCTGCTTGATCGTATTCACGTGGTCGGAGAGGAAATGGGCATTAAAATAAACGCAAACAAAGCAAATTTTTAGTGTTTAGTCGTGACCCCGATGCAAAGCCTTAATTAAACGGAGTTCCAAGTTGAGAAAGTTCACAAGATGACATATTTGGTAACTGTGACAATAGAACACCTAGATCCAGACATAGAAATTAAACGTAGAATAGCAATGACTAAAACTACTTTTATGAAAATGAAGTCATTCCTTTGCAATAATCATCTCAGTTAAGAACTAAGATAAAGAATGGCTAAGTGCTATGTTTTTTTAGTACCTACTTTTGTATAGTGCAGAAGGGTGGATGCTAAAAGTATCGATCATGAACAAAATTGAAGCATTGGAAATGTGGGTGCATAGACGAGTGCTGAAGATACCTTGGACAGCAAGGAAAACTAATGAAGAAGTACTAACGAACGTCAACAAAGATAGAGAACTGCTAAAGACTGTTAAAACATCGAAAAATGTCTTATCTGAGACATATAGTAAGGGGAAGTCGAAATATTACAATTGATCATTAAAGGCAAAATAGAGGGCCGTAGGTGTAGGAAAAAAACAAGTGTTTTGGTTAAAATACATTCGTGAATCAACTCAGATGTCAAATGCAGGAAAATTATTCCATATTGCAGAAGATCGAGAAGCCTTCGCTAATGGTGGTCGGATAATTCGGATATGGCACGCGAACAAGAAGAAGGCAGGAAAGGCAGAAGGTGGTTAGTTATCATTTTATTGGATGATATATCGTATTATCCAGTAATTTTAAGAAATATAAAACAATTATCAATACGTGTGTAATACATTGACTGCTTTACTTTTTGGGAATATACTAAAATATTTGTTATTAAAATACTTAATTTATTGACTTATCGATTGTCAATCCTACAGTCGTTCTCAAAATGTTTTACAATCTGCAATTTAGTAAAATGATAAAGGTTTTTTTATTTTTTCATTTTCTCTAACCGTCTTTTCCTTCGAATCTATTAATGAATATTTCCATCGGACTCCTTGTTTGTATGTTAAAAATCTTTCATTTTATTATTATAATGTCATATTCAAGCAGTAGGTTTGAGGTTTCATCCAAATACATTTTTCTATAAATAAAGCTAGTCTATAAATACAAGTTTATGTTCTCTCGTGTACATTTATTAATAAACTATGTAATTTTAATTAAAATTCTTGTGATTTATTTCAATGAAATTTATAGCAAATTTAAAAATAACACAACATAAAATAGTAACATTTTTGGAATTCTGGTTAAATTGAAAATGGCGTATTCAAACCAAAAGTGCAATTTTATCAGATATAATTAATTATACTAAATAGAGAAGAGGAAGTAGAAATTGTTGTTTATAATCTTATCTCCCGATATCTAACTAAAAGTGTTTTATCAGCGTATATATTATCGAGTACGCCACTGAAACAAACACGACATCTCTGGCTGGTGAAAATACCAACGTAAACCTCATACCTTGGGGTGAGAGAGGCGGAGCTAGGGGCGCAATAGGCGTGGCTGTCCTGTCTATCCCCACCCTTCATACCGCTTTGTTTTCACACACACCGCCGGAAATGCGGTGGCTTGAACCATCATTGTTCTTGTCATCAAAATATTGGGATAACATTTCTCTAGTCAGATATAATCTTGTATCCGTAGAGAGAACAACGAACGTTATCTTTATCAGTAATCCCGCGATAAATAAGTGTGCGTATATATAGAGACTGATAACCTTCATTCATAAACGTTCTGACGAGTGATTAGTGATACCTCATCTTAAATGCTGACGATGGAGGAGAATTGTCGTCATTTGACGACTAGTGACATTGACCCAAGATACGCTGTCACCGACAGTCCACTGGATCTTAGAGGATCTTCGACGGAACAACCGGAAGGGAAATCAGAAAAAGATAAATCGAAGAAAACCAATCATCAATTAATCAAACCACCCTACTCATATATAGCTCTCATTACAATGGCGATTCTTCAATCTCCTCACAAGAAATTAACCTTAAGTGGTATATGCGAATTCATTATGACAAGATTTCATTATTATAGAGAAAAATTTCCCGCTTGGCAAAATTCTATTCGACACAACCTCTCGCTTAACGATTGCTTTATAAAAATTCCACGAGAACCAGGAAATCCAGGAAAAGGCAACTATTGGACGTTGGATCCCTTGGCAGAAGATATGTTCGACAATGGAAGTTTTTTACGAAGAAGAAAGCGGTATAAGCGACCGTCTCCAAACCTCATGCTGCGGGACCATCACGCATCCGCCATGGTTGCTTCATTTCTATCCAGTCAGGAGAATTATCACCATAGTATATTCAGCCACGCAAGTATGCACAATCCATATCCATATATTCCTGGGATTCCAGCAAATATACCGCCCAATTTACCACTTTTGAGCCCTATGGATTTATCCAGATTAAGCCTGAGTCATCTAGGTTTATTGCCACAACCAACTATATGCAAGCCAGTGCCAGTGCAGCCACCAAGTGTAACAACTGTTTCCGACAATGAAGATTATGGTGTCACAGATATTAAGAAGAGCAAAAATGGTTTTTCCATAGACTCTATTATGGGGAATGAGAGTAATCGGGGGAAGAACGACATGAGTCCTGATATTAGCCTCACCAGGATTCACAACCAAGGATCTGCATTTTCGCCGTTGTCTTCTAGTGACGATTGGACCAGGTGAAAATTTCAGGATCTTTTGTAAAGGTAACTTGTTTTATTCTTTTATAACGAATGTGCGAATCTTAAAATTATATTTAAATATCATAATATACGAGTTGTCCAGTTCTAATAGAATTCTTTAACACATGTACAAACATTAAGGACTTACCTATAGGGTTATTCATTTATATGAAAAAATCATTGATATTCAACAAATATAAAATCGTTTTATAATTTAAATTGTACTATAAATACTATAATTTAAATTTTAAATTAATTTAAAGAATTTCTTTTAGATTTAACAACAAAATTAAATTTAAGAAACTTACACTCTTTAGAAATGTATTATTAAGCCGTACGTAGACGCCGACGGTAAAAAGACAAAAGGCATGATTGACATATTGGTTAAAACAAAAATTTTTATATCTCAGCTCAACTTTTTTGCTGGGTTGAGATTTTATTAATTCTACACATTTTCACTAATGTCGATTAATCAAACGTACTTTTTCATAAGAATAAAATTGTTATTAGCTTAATATGAGTATTTCGATGACCATCGTATCAAGATTAATGCTGACGGTATTTAACCAAACCTAAATTGGAAGTAGTTATGCAAAAACTTACCAAACCACAGATGTTTTGTTTTGAGAAAATCGATAATAATGGTTTAAAATTCTTTTTGTTTTATTTTTGTTCTTTATAAGTTTAAATTTATTATGTGGCCGCTAAAATAAGTTGAACTCGATTTAAGTCAAATGTCTAATAGGTAGTTACTGATTTGTAGTGTTTTAAAATATTTTTGTGGATTGGTAGGTTTCTGTAAATTATGAAATAGGGTTTTTACACTGAAGTAAATAAAAAACATAATAAAAAATACAACATAACTTTTAATTTTGCACATCGTTATCATGATTAACTTTAAAGTCAAGATTGGCAACATTAAACCCTTCAACATCGTCTGCTATATTGCCGTCGGCTTCTAAATTTTGATAAAATTCGTGACAGTCTACCGGAATCAGATGAATTATTTTCTATTCTTTCGTTTTTCTTCTAAAATTGGTTTTCCGTTTGGCCATAACTTAATGAGATCTAAAAATTTTCTTTTCATTTTCTGAGGGGTAATTTCTTTTGGTTTTTTTTATGTGAATCTCTTGAAATAGAGCTTCGACAGAATTTTGTTAAATTATTAGGGTAAAGGGTCTCTTTTTCTATCTGAATACTTCAAATATGAAGCCAGTTAATTTTGGTACCGTCAGTAGCAATTTTTCGGTTAACAATGATTTTTTTTGACATTTTTTATGACATAAAACTCAGTTGATCTTATCTTAGTAACAACAAACGGCTTTTTCGTTCAGCAGCTACGCATAACGTTCATGTATTCCTATACCTATGGTGTCTTTGTTGGTGCTTTAGGGCAGATTCTATAGCAGCAAAATCCGAATCATTTGATAAGAAGCTGTGTCCTGAATATAAAAATTTTATTGTTATATCTTCCAGTTCAGGGGTACTGTGTAAAATATATTTTAGCATAAGAGTAAGCTTAATATTTCGGTTCTGACCGCCACATGAGTCACTTCATAATTGGAGTGACTCAAAAGTTACTTTTTAAATGTTTAAGGATACAAGAACCTACTTCCTAAGCACCTCGTCCTGCGACGCCCTCAGCCCAAATATAACAAAATCCCCTATCGTCGTCCTTTCTACTATGTGTGCCAACATTATAAAACCCATAGCTGGCGTTTATAAAAAAAAACTATGTTTATCGGGATTCTTGGCAGAGGCAAAGTTTTTTTCTAGATCAAACGTAAGACATTCCGTGTGATCATTATTTTTGACTAATAAAAAATTTTCTCTTTTTAATCTTTTTGCTTTTTCGGTGATCTCAAGATGTCTGTTGTGCTTTTCTTGTAGTTCTTTTTAATCTGCATCGGTTTCATTATCAGCTTAATATTTTAAGACTATCGCAAGAATTACAGGTATCCTTTTTTAAACTTTTAAATTTTAAATAAAATTTTTCGTCAAAAATTTTTTTATATGAAGCTTGGCTTAGTGGATTTTGGTTTTCTTCACACTACACATTATACATCTTTTAAAGAGTTACTTATGGAGGCAAAAATCCATAGATTGTTTGTGCTCGACAGTAATGCGACTTTTTTTTCGTAAAAATTTTTTTTTATGATGCTTGGCTTAGTGGATTTTGGTTTTCTTCACACTACATATTATACACATTTTGAAGAGTTACTTCTGGAGACAAAAAAAACCGTAGATTGTTTGTGCTTGACAGTAATGCACCTTATATTTTGGAATTTTTTATGTGATCCACAGTTTGTATTTTCTGCTCTCCTTGCTTTATCCCTATTTATTCTGTAATAGGTGCCTCGCCTTTAAAATTTTTTAGAGCAATAGTTATAATAAAAGATGTAATACCAAAGGTTTTTACAGACATCTCCCTACAAACAACTAATTCTTGTATTTTATATTTTCTGCTAAATTCCCTTTTTTTTAATCTCTTCCATATATCCGTTTTTCTAGGGAATTATCGAATTCCTGCTGCAATGAAGTTAACTTGACAATCATACGATTTTAAAGAATAAAATCTCTCAAATTCACTTTTGCATATATCAGTAGAGATCATTACATTTTAAAGTACATTGGCAGTTATAGTCCATAAACTATTTCAGTTAAATTTTTTCCCCTTGGAATTATAGTATGACTGATTACTATTCTTTCTTATTTTCCTATCTGTCCTATTTGAAATTTATACTTTCTTTTCCTTCCTTTTTTTGGTATTTTTTACCGTTATTTTCCCTCGTCATTTTCAACAACACTCTCGCAATCATCTGCTACAATATGACGATGGCCCGGAACTATTTCTTCTTCCGACATAGAAGACTGGTTTTTAACTACTTCATAATCAAGATCGCCAATTTCATCATTTTGATTTTCTAAATCCAAAAATTGAACTTGATTTTGATGTATTAAAACGTCAGGAGAAACCACTCTACGGGTACTTGGAAATGCATCTCCATGTTTCTATTAGCCATTCCCCTCTTGGATTAATACTATCTGATTCTACTACTTCTTCAACATTAGGTGGTAACCCTGGGCTTGTTTGATCTTGTCGAGTAAAATATTCCTCTCTGTGATTTTTTGGACTCGCAACTGTTGCGTATTTTAGTTCGATAAATAACGGTTTTAAGGAATTTGTTGCATTATCGTCAGCCCAAATTTCACTAATTACCATCCTGATATTCGGATTTTCAGCATCTTCAAAATACATCCCTAAAATAATACAAAAAAAACAAGTGTTAATACTGTAGCCTTTTTAATAAATTAGTATTTATTTACCATATTGTGTACTTTTCAACTTTTCTTCTTCTCCTCGTATTTCTTCTTGTCTACCTTCATATCGTTCTTCTAGCCATTATATCTCTTTCGAAACATCCTAACATGTTTTCATTGCTTTCGAAAGAAAAATACTGAAGCGAATCTATGGAGCGGTAAATGAAAATGGTGTCTGGAGAAGACGATACAACTTCGAACTCTATAGAATATATCAGGAACCAGATATCATAAAACACATTAAGATAGGACGTCTGAGGTGGGTAGGCCATGTAATGCGGATGGAGCAAACCGACCCAGCTAGAAAAACGCTCCTTGATAGACCTATTGGTCAAAGAAGAAGAGGAAGACCCAGAACAAGATTCCTAGATAACATAGACCAAGATATGAGAAATACGGAAATACTTGCTTGGCGGAGGAAGGCGATGGATAGGGACGAGAATTATTGGGGAGGCTACGACCCACACAGGGTTGTAAAGCCAAAATGATGATGATGAGCCATTATATCTCTATATTTTCTGCAGAATCCTCAAACTGAGGTATTTTCTCCATGGTGTTCTTCTGCATTTGCAGCCACTCCCGATTTTTTATCTAACCATTCTATCTCTATATCTTCGGCAGAATCCTTAAACTGAGATATTTAGTAAACACATTATTTTCTCCATGGTGTTCTTCTGTAGTTGCAGCTGCTCCCGATTTTACAAAAAAGAAGTTGGAAACTAACTAACTAACTAAATAATGTTTTAATAGGACTATACCAGACTTACCTTCTGCATTATTCTCATTATTTTTCGCCATGGCGATAATCATGCACGTTCTGCTTTTTATTATCTGTCTGTTGAAATTGTTGATTTCAGTATTTTACACAAAACTAATTGGTTTTTAACACCAAATGGATATAATACCTTGCAGTAGATGGATGGTGTTTTTTATGTAATGAAAATAAAGATTCTTCAGAAAATATAATATGTTTTAAAAAGTGTACATTTTCATTCTGTTTATCTGATATAAATTCACAAAACTCCGCCTAAAGTTACCTTCCGGAAACAGTTCTTGTGTTGGTTGTATCTTAAAACAGTGATACCTATTCGTTTTGAGAACTCGCTGGACAGTTTGAGAATTCACGTTAACTTCCCTAGCAATTTGGACACTATTGCAGGGTTCACTAGCTTCCACAAAGACACAAATATCAATATCTCTGTTTTGACGCTCCTCATCGACAGGTCTAACAAGTATTTCCTTACCTTCATGACACTTTTTACAAAAACTGTTTACAAATCTCTAAGTTTGAAACTGTTTAATGGTCAATATGGTCAATAAAACAATGTCGTGATCTTTATAAACGAAGTTAACAGATTTGTAAATATTGATTATAATATATATCATGCCAAACATTCAATTTTAGAGATGGGGTGAGTCCCCTCATTACAATTAAATTTTTAACTATATTTTAGTAAAAAGTTAAATTGTTTAATTATTATTTTAAAATTTTTTTAACAATATTTCAAAATTATTTTAAAATTTTAAGAATTTAAAATTATGCAAAAAAGATATTTGTATGGAAATAACGCATGTCCCTAAAGTTTTCGGAAAAAATGTATATAAATATGTATTTACTTTCCAATTGTAAATTAAGTTTATTTATTAACTAAATACAGGAAATTAAGTCTACATATTTAA